CAGGAGGATGGAGCGAGGAGGGTGCTGGTCTCTGCTCCCAAGGAACAAGGGATGGCACAAGAGGAAACAGCCTCAAGCTGCTCCAGGGGAGGTTTAGATGGAGACTGGGAGCAATTCCTTGCCCAGAGGGTGCTCAGGCCTTGGAACAGGCTGGAAGTGTGCCCAACCTGGTCAGCTGAGGCCCTTGGTGCCACGGGTTAGTGGTGGCCTTGGAGCGCTGGGGAACGCTTGGAGCTTAAAGGTGGTTGATCCCATGATCCTGCCTTTTCCAGCAGCCTGGTTGGGAGCAAGGACACAGCGGAGCCTCCAACCTCAGCTGCTGAAGAACCTTTGCTCTTTTTGGGGGAGGGGGGTGTTAAAGCATTTTGGTCCTTCTGGAGGAAATGGGTGCTCGAGGGTGGCCTCGGGGCTCCCCTGTGCTTGAAGCTTCCTCCACCAGTGGAGCTTTGAGGCTCTGTCACCACCCCCTGTTGCTCCGTGGCCTGTCCCCTGTCAAGTGACATCTGTTCATTGCAAACTACACCCACAATTCGGGGTTTCCTGGGGGTTTGGGTGAGTTTTGTGGGGTTTCGGTAAGTTTGGGTGGGTTCGGTAGCATTTTGGTGGGGTTTGGTCAGGTTTTGATGGCTTTTTGGTGAGTTTTAGTGGGTTTTGTTGGCTTCTGATGGGTTTGGGTGGATTTTGGTGGGTTTGGTAGCTTTTTGGTGGGTTTTGTTAGTTTTTGGTGGGGTTTGGTAGCTTTTTGGTGGGTTTTATTAGTTTTTGGTGAGTTTTGGTGAGGTTTGGTAGCTTTTTGATGGGTTTTGTTTGTTTTTGGTGAGTTTTGGTGGGGTTTGGTAGCATTTTGGTGGGGTTTGTTAGTTTTTGGTGAGTTTTGGTGGGGTTTGGTAGTGTTTTGGTGAGGTTTGGTGAGGTTTGGTAGCTTTTTGATGGGGTTTGTTAATTTTTGGTAGGGTTTGGTAGCTTTTTGGTGGGTTTTGTTAGTTTTTGGTGGGGTTTGGTACCATTTTGGCGGGTTTTGTTAGTTTTTACTGGGGTTTGGTAGCCTTTTGGTGGGTTTTGTTAGTTTTTACTGGGGGTTGGTAGCCTTTTGGTGGGTTTTGTTAGTTTTTAGTGTGGTTCGGTACCATTTTGGTGGGTTTTGTTAGTTTTTGGTGGGGTTTGGTACCATTTTGGTGGGTTTTGTTAGTTTTTGGTGGGGTTCGGTAGCATTTTGGTGGGGTTTGTTAGTTTTTGCTGGGGTTCGGTAGCATTTTGGTGGGGTTTGTTAGTTTTTGGTGGGGTTTGGTACCATTGTGGTGGGTTTGGTGGGTTCCGATGGTGGTTTGGTGGGTTCCTGCTCCCCTCAGCCCCATCCTCAGTGGTGCCTCTTGCAGGTACGACTCCTTCGACTCCTACGACTCGAGGTCCTCCGCGAACGACCGCGACATGTATCGACCCGGCTACGAGTACGGCGAAGCCGAGCACGACCCCGACGGCTCCTACGAGGGTCCTTACGACAACTTCTACGGGAATCGCCGGGATCAGTTCCAGAGCAGAGCTCGGGATAACTTTGGGCAGCGGGGCCAGAACTGGGGGCGGGACAACCGCAACAACAGGCCCTTGGCATCGGCGTATCCCGGGCGGATGAGCGGACAGTGGAATGACGCTCCGCAGTCGATGGGATCCCGGGGGCCCCACGGTTCCTCCAGGCTTCCTTCCCTCTTCTCCCACAACATTATCCCAGAACTCAGCATGTTCCAAGGGATGCGAGGCTTCCCGGGGAACATGCGCTACGGAGGAGGGATGATGAAGCAGCGGATGAGGAGGAACTGGAAAATGTGGGATTCGGATTTTAAAGTAAGTACTTGTGTCATCTCCTCCTTCCCGTTCAACTCGACATTCCCAACAGCTCCAGGTGTCCTCCAACACTCTGGGAAGTGATAATTCCATGTGTTTTGGCTTCGTGGGGTGTTATCTCCTAAGCAGAAGGAGGAGGTTGCGCTCGGTTGATTCAACGTGGGGTGTTTTCATTCTAAAATCCTTGTTTCCTGAAGATAGGAAGAACGTCGCAGCCATTCCTGGCTTCAGCTCCCGCATTATGGGATGGAGGGGTGCTGGGTTATATGGCTGAGAACATTGGGGTTGCAGAAGCTGCGTGGAGAGCTCAGAGCAGCTTCCAGGGGCTGAAGGGGGCTGCAGGGATGTGGAGAAGGACCTTCAGCAGTGACAGGACAAGGGGTGATGGGCTCAAACTGCAGCAGGGAAGTTCAGGTGGGAGATAAGGAAGTTCTTCCCTGGGAGGGTGCTGGGACACTGGGATGGGTTGAATGGAGAAGCTGTGGCTACCCCATCCCTGGCAGTGTTCAAGGCCAGGCTGGAGCAACCTGCTCCCTCTTCTCCTTCCTCTTGTCTCCCAGCCCCAGAAGAAGAAGCTCAAGAAGGATCCCAGCGTGAAGAAGAGGAAGCTCACGAACAGCTCCGATGATCCCGACAACAAAGCGGCCAAGACGGACGGCTCCGAGAACTCCGACTCGGACAACGGTAGAAGCTGAGCAGCTTCCTGGGGCTGGGCAACTGCCCTGGGCTTCGTTTCCAGCAGAGCCTTTGGGATTTGGCCTGGATTTCACGTGGTGGCAAAGCTGTTGGTGGCCATCTGGAGAAGAGGGGGCTCAGGGGGCACCTGATCGCTCTCTACAACTGCCTGATGGAGCCAGGAGGGGGCTGGTCTCTGTTCCCAAGGAACAAGGGATGGGGAGGTTTAGATGGATACTGGGAGCAATTCCTTGCCCAGAGGGTGCTAAGGACT